GTCACAGTCAATGCTATTAGGTTGAAATTGTTAGGGTAGGGTAGTTAGGACAAGACACCAAGCCTATAGAACATAAAAGGAAGGCAAAGGGGTTCCAGAGTGCCTGTTCAATGTTGAGTTGTTGAAAAGCTGGTCGTGAAAGCACTGCAGAGTTTTTGTGCCTTCCAATTTTTTTGTCTAAAACTTCTAAAACTCACTTTCTGAATATTCAAGTTCAGTTAGAGGTGAGTGGGGTTCGACAGGCGCGTCATCATTTCGTCAGTTTATGGCAAACTAATACCGCACAAGATTGAAAAGGTCACAGACACGGTATAGGAAGACTGAGGTGGAGTAACACTGTCTCCGGAGGCGTCAAACTTTCATCCCTGTTTCTCACGTGCGCCACCAGATGACGCCACAATTGTCGAGGCCAACAACGGCCATCTGCTACGTGCAGATAGAAATGCTTAGCGACTGCAGCGAAGTTTGGCACGTGCTGAACTGAATGTAGTGGCTAAACATGACACTTTCTGAGCGGCGGAATATATTCCTGGCGTTATATAAAATTCAAATAAATAATAAATAAAGGGCTTTTGGCCACTGTCATTTTTATTTTTATAATTTATACATATGGCACGTGCTTTCGTTCTTCCAGAAGCAACAGATACTACCGGTTTTTTTATAATAAAAAAAAAAAAAGAGGTAAAAGGCACGTTATTGGCACACCCTTTAAGAGATATAGTTTATGTCCATGGACCACACTTACACATGTGTGAACTACTTTATTTTAGTGGGCTCAATATTTTGCAAATTCAACAAAGTGTCGTTTTCAGGAATATTTTGCAAATCAGGGTGGTATGCTATGCATTTGTTACCATCAAAGGGGAATCGGTGGCCGAGTGGTTTAGCGCACATTAGCTCGGAGGGCGTGGATCCTGGGCTCAATTCCTGCCCGTTTCGATGTGGATAAGCATCGTACCAGCGTGCGGTCGTGTATCACTGCTGCGTGGTGCACGTTAAAGACCCCAGGTTAGCGGTTGTACCGCACTGGCTAAATTGCTCATCTACAGCTCAGACACCAGACCTCCACTGAGGCAGACTAACTTCCGGTTGTATAAACATACACACAACAATTTGCTTCTGCCATCAAGAACCCAATCACATTATCTATTTTTCGTGATAGTATTTAACTCTCAAGAAAAGGTTCTCACAAAAATTAAGTAGTTTACAGTACGTGAAAAGTGCTTTCGGGTGGTGTGCTACTTTTTCTATCGTAGGATTAAGCCAACACGGTATATTAAAACTCTCTAATGGAGTTTACCTGCTGACAAGGCTCACTGAACTTTAGTTCCCGTGCACAAATGTAATAAGGCAAACACGGCAGAGTTAAGTATCAATATGTGGATTTTGTTTATTTGACAGAGAACTAATTTGTTAACATAATTTATAAAACTACTTCAGAAAACAGCAACATTTGACAAACAAACAAATTTAATTTTTTTAAAATTTCAAGTACAATTATTATGCAACTACTACGCATAACAATCAAAAAAGCTTGAACAGTAGAACAGGTTTAATTTGGCACATTTTGCAAATTTCTTTCTGAAATAATTGCCTTAATAAACCTTATCGGATCTCCAAAAATTTTTGGTCTTTCCAGGACAGCCTTTGAGAGCTTGTGCAGATTTTGAGCTTTGTTTGCCTGATTAATTTAGGATGTTTTCAATACTGACACTAGCTCTCCTTTGCAACATGGTGCCGTTTGCTGGAAGGGGGTACTAACAATCCGTGGGTCCTTTCATTTCTTTTTTTTTTTTTGTCTCGTCAGGCAGTTTGGGCAGCCCACCGTTTCTTTCACTAGAGCGGCTTACCGTGGTGCTCATATAAGAATGTGGCCCTTATAGACAGCTTCCCATAATTTGGTCACAAACTTCAACACGAAAGGTCTCTCAAAAATCGGCTATAGCAGGCTGTCTTTGCACGGGATTGCATGACACCACACCTTCGGGCGGTCCTCTTCCTTGAGAGTAGCAAAAACGGCGAGCTTCTCCGCGCACGTCTTGTATTCTGTGTTGCATCGTGGCACAAAGCACTTCTTCCCCATTTCCAGCAACTTCTGGAAGCCAAAACTGACGAAAAACAAAACGCGAACCATAAGAAAATCTTGTTAAACTGCATGGCGTTGTGACCCGGCGTATACTACCGCTACTAAAAGAACAAACTCCTCAGCCTCCAGGTTGGTGGCGCACCCTGGTGACAGGGCAGAGAATCGCGTGCTGAATTTTGACATGGCGGCTCTTCGGCGGAAGCAGAGCGTTATGCCACCAGAAGTATTTCTGTCACTGGTGTCACAGATATCTAAAAAAAAAAGATTCTCATCAACCTTTCACAAAGCTTACATTCTGTGCAGGGTAACCCGAAGAACCATCCAAGACTGTGTTGGTGAGACAAAAAGGATGCATGAACGTTGCCATTTAAATTGTTAAAATTGCATTTCTTGGACAAATACATTTTAAAATATTCTTGTGAAGAGAATCGCTTATCTGAACTAAAACCTGCCAATGAATTTCTTCCTCCTCAAAATTGTCCACTTTTTCTTCACAACAAAGGAATCTGCCCAATGAAAAAGGTACTTATTATTTCATCTCACCATACTTGAAGCATAAAGGAAGAAAAAAAAGGATAACTCCACTCCACGCAAGTTCTGCATCTGGTGTTGTGACGATCAGAAAAATTACAGTTTTCAAGATACTTTCGAATTGAGCCTTCCAAAACCTGTAAATAGTGCATGCCTAACATGAGTTCCAAATTTTATTTTTAATGTGCTGTAAATTTCGGTCAAAATTCTGACTTCATTTTTCAAGTGAGATCTTTATCACAATTTCCAAAACGTTTTCTTCCCAGGATGTAGCACTGTTCTTTTTTGAACAAATATGAATAAGTACTCATTGACTAAAATAATAACATTTTAACGTGGCCACGGCAGACTGTAATGACCAGGATTACATAGCTCTTTTATTGTCAAAAGTATAACCTCAGCATGATGCAGATGAAAGTTTCTCTCAAGCTTCAGCAGATATATGAAGGGCTGAAAATACATTGTAAAATCAATTTTTTCCCAAAATGGCCAGTTTGTATGCAAATTTTATTTCACAATTGTGTGAATGCATTTTGTATGAAGTATTATTTCTCTCTTATGTACAGCTATTCACTCATGTTTCTTTGATTGGTGACTTGTTAATGTATAAGCTTAAGTTTATTTTATGTGTTCTTTGTTGCTGTTCCGTTTTGGGGGCTCGGGGCTAACCAAGCTGCCCAACAACTTTTTTTCCCATGCCCTCCACAAACATTGCATCTTCGTTGGAAAATAAAATATATTATAATTAGCATTGGAAAAAAAAAAAAAAAAAAGCTCATCTTCTTTAGGACTGACAGAGTTGTGACACTGGAGCATTTAAACATGACATGTACCTTTTTCAGGTGCTATCTGAGAACACAGCAAGAGTTTCAGTATCATACAGTATTATGTTTACAACCCACGAAGAGCAAAACAGAAATAGAACATGATACAACAGTTACACATGACTGTAAGCCAGTCGTTTGTATCAGTGGATATTAAGCACAGCTTTTTTTGACTAGAAAAGCTTCAAGTTACCAAAAACATGACTGCCTCCACACTTAGACCACTGAGGCAGGTGTAATATTTTGTGCCGTTTGGGCCGTACACCTGTCATACTGTAGTGTGTATACAGTATGAAAAAACAAAACTTCAGAAGAGGTTGGAGGAAATAATCTCATTTCATTTATTTTGCCTCAGAAGTATCAAACAATGTATTACACTTTAAGGAAAGGTGGAGAAGTGGTATATAGTACATACATGTAAACAAACGTTATACCCAGAAATGTATGTATACATATATAACAATAACAAGTACACTGTAAATATCAGAAATATAACGACGTTAGAGAATACGACATACGAGACACTCAAATTGTTGCTTATATTTTCATAACTTTATATGCCAATAAGCGTAACAAAAAGAATTTATAATCTAGAAGTAGTCAAGGAAACAAATACATTAAAAAAAATCAGCTCTTTACAACTACATTTAATCGGTATTTTGGTTCTGACAGAGTCACAGAGCGACAACTACAACTGGTTCAGAGAGTGACAACGTATGAAAACTCACTCCAGTCCTTCACGCATAGGACAAGCTGGCAACGTCGGCCTATTCACTCTCTTCCAGGAAAGCATCGCGACGTGCCCTTCCTTCCCAAGCTGGTAATTACGAAACCTTCTCCTCGAAAGTTCCACGACCTCGCTTCAAGAATCTAGACCAGAGAGCGCGCGATAGTATCACGCAGAAACGAAACGAAAACATCTGTGTGCACCGCCCGTATCCGACTCGGTCTTCCGCGCGCAATGACGTCCGCTCTAACAGCAACCCCCGAAAAAAGAAAGCAGCGAGACTGAATTTCACAATCGTTGCCCGCGCTTTGGTGACAAAAAAAATGACGAAACCGATCGGTCCCCAAAGCCGCTGCGAAAGCGCGCACAACCGATCAATAACACCGCCCGAGAGACTGACAAATCATATGTTCCGTGTACAAAACACGAGAAAAGTGGATTCACTTTTTGCCCGTTCTGAGAAAAACAAGTATTTCAGAACCCACGCCCTCTGGGAGAACGCGGAGGGAAGTGCCAAGTGCATACGATTACGCGATTTCATACATTCTCTGTTGAGCAAGAGATGCGATCCAACTCGCAGGACGACGACGGACGACCAAAATTGCGGCTTATATTGAAAGGTAGGAAACATTTTCGTCGCTCTCGAGCTATTAAACAACCACACCCAGACAGTGAGCATCTGTAACGGTCAGACTATACCGCTAATCAACGGGAGACTCATTAAAGGTACGAGTGAACGAAGGTTACGATGAGAGCGGACGGCGAGAAGATTTAACTTAGGCTTAAAACGCGGCACACAAGCTCAGGCGCGAAGTCCAGCGGAAAAACTTACCCGGGATGGTGGCAGAACACTCGAATGTCACGTCCGACGTGAGGCCAGTCTGAAAGCTGGAGGTGCACTGTTCACAAACCAGGGTAAACACGGCGCCGCGAAACAAAAACCAGCAAAACCATAGCTGCCGCAAACACATCCGTCACACGGGCGTCACTGCGGCATCAGGAGCATCGCATCAGCGTTCCGTCGCGCGCTGTTGCCAGACCTTGAATGAAGTGCCGTCAAAACACCGCGCGGTTCGGATCTTTCTTTCTGGCGCGTAATTTCGAAACCCGAAATATCGCTCCCCATCTACGACGGTCTTTGTGGCGCTTTTACTAGGAGGGAATGAATGAATAAATACATTTTAGTAGGGTATATAATTGGTGTGGCTACTAGATTACAAATATTTGAAAAAAAAAAAAAAAAAAAAAGCTGGAGACAACGGACGAAGAAGAAAAACATAAAACATCTCAAAACGTTTCAGTTGAGACGTTTTGTGTTTGTCCCCTTCATCGTTCGACGTCTCGTGTATTTTTTTTTCAAATATGTGTAACATCAACCAGCTCGCTCGTTTACTTACTCTTTCCTCAATCATGCTACTAGGTTGTTTTTTTTGTTTTTTTTTTTGTCTTTGTTGTTTGATAGACAGATGACTGCAGTGGCGTCTGAACAGGGGGACGGGGACCCCCTCCCCGTCCCCCTGTCCAGACGCCACTGATTGCCTTTTTACTTCCTGTGTAAGCAATACATGGGAGAAAACAGAAAATCGCTCTCAAGCGCCCCCCCCCCCCCCCTCCCCGTCCCCTCTACCGAGTAGTTCCGACGCCCCTGACCACTCTGACTGATTGACTTGCTCATGTTACAAATAGCTACAAAGGTAGACCATCGGTTGCCCATTCCAACAGAACACAATGGTATATACTAGCGTCTGATTATAACGGGGGTTATTTTAATAATCTTACGTGGTCTCTAAAGAAGAAATAGTCAATAGTGCAATTATTTAGAATATCTATTTTCTTTAGTTCGGCTAGAAACAAAATAACGATAACAATATTTGTATGTTTACGACACACTGACAAATGAAAACAGTATGGTTATTTTCAGGAACATGACTATTTACATATTCCGAGGGACCTGGATGTGCTGCAAATTCACAATGATAGCTCATATCAGCAGACATAAGTGAAAGCTCACCTTGAAGCAATGTTTAGACATTGCCTCTACTTAAAATCAGGTTTTGTTAACTTAAAAAAAAAATCTAGGACAAAAAGTAAAATGGCGAAAACCTATTTTAGGGAGCTACGCTAAAAATATTTATGGAAGCTGTTGCTGAATCACCGGGAAACAATAGGACACTCTATATATTGACAAAATTATTTGAAGAAAATAACATACTGACAAGCAAGCTAAATACAAAAAAAAAATGGATAGTAAACTATCGGCATTATACTATCGAAAAACTGGGTAGATAATCAAGAACGGAAGATTATAAACAAATAAATGTTTTCGGACATTTTTATTTGTTTACGCTTTTATTGCGTCACGAGAATGCTTGCGTTATACTATTGTATTCTATATAGTTTACCCGTATGATGCTCGAAAGATTTTTAAAAACCAAACACCATTCAAATACGTAGTTTTTTTTTTTTTTTTTTTTTTTCAGGCATCATTGACGTTGTTTAGTTTAAAAAAATGGGTTTCCGACTTCGTCTTCCTATGGATCCAACATCATCTCTGTAGTCAGTGACAAAGCGAGGACGGCAGAGCGTTCATTTTGAACGCCCGGCCTCCAGAACGCCCTCCCTGCCTTCCACCGTGCTTTGGGAGCGCGCGTTAGCTCGGGGTGCACGATCGATACGCCGAAGTATTCGTCGAAGGTAGACGAGGCTTGCGCTGAAGTCTAGACGACTGAAGACCCTCCGCTTCCGTTCTGAGCTTGTCAGTTACTGTATACCTACGTCTACTACAACACTCAGTTGGGAAACTCAGCCTTGAAACCTGGGCCGTTGGTGCCCACTGAGACCGAGCTAAATGCGATAACGCGCCACCCTTCAGCGACGAGTTGAAACATGAAAGTTGCTTTGGCTACTGCCAGAGTCACTGAAGGTTCCCAGAGTACCGAAACCCCCAGGCTCGATATGCCAAGATGGCGGCTCAATCTTTTTTTTTTCTTTACTGTGGTACCATAGCTTTTAGAGAGCTTGTTTTTATGTAAAAACAAACGAAAAAAAAGCTATTTTCTTATGAACTTTTATTGGAGATTAGTACAAAATAACAGGAGCGTGATGTTTTCTAAAATGTTTAGTTTACAAGGTTTTGCCGCACAATGAATATTGTTTTTATACAATAATGTCTCACCGGTGATTTCAGTTAGCGCGTCCCAAACTGGATGCGTCCTAACTTCATTAGTCATTTGCGGCGCGTCTGCTTGGGAGACGAGGGCTGGCGTCCCAAACCCCTTCCACCGCATACGTTTCGGCGCCGAAATGGCCGATCAAAGCCAAAATAGAACAATCGCAGTGGACGCTACCCAATGCGATACTCCTGACCAGCCGTGCCGTTCCCCGAGTGGCCGCTGCGGGAGAAATGGCGGCATTGCGATCGCCATTAACTCGTGTCTCGAGTACGGATCGGTGCCACTTTTCAGAGCAGGCTCTATACCTACATTATGAAGCCTAAAAAACGAACCAAAGGTCAGTGTGGTGTGCAGATGGGGAGCTGCGTCATCGCCCTCCAGTCGATGACCTAGACATTCGAGCACTGCGGCCTTGTTAATGGTACTTTGTTCTCCCATAAGCAGACAGTGCGATGGGAGCTACGCGCTCTCCGGACCAATCAACGGCCCCTCTTTCGTCACCTGATTCTGATCTCTGCGCGTGGTGGATATGGGGAGGGAGCGTGATCACGTGGCGAAAGATGAACGCACGACTGGTCCGAACGAACATTTTGGTTCCATCACACTCTCAGCTTATATCTCGACGTGAAGAAGTGGGACGAGTTTGATCGCGCGCTTTATGTGTATAAGGGAAGACGTGTGTGCGAAGGTTTTGTGGACTTTTAGACCTGGCGAAGATCATGGACGAGCCATAAAAATGCGAAGACCTGTTTAGTGCACCGCTGCGAAGCGACGCGTGAGAAACCAGCTCCCCGGAACAGCGATAAGACAGATGAGCAAAATTCCTTTGCGTTTACGAGTGGCTGATGTCGTCGGCTTCGCCATAGTGGCATTCACGTCAGTGTGATGAATCTGAAGCGATTACGCAATCAGGAAAAAGTGTTTTCACATCACATACTTGTACGCGTCATCATCGCTCGAGCGTTTGAGGGGTTTGCCTCTTAATTGTGGAACTGATTTTCTCATTGACTAACCCTCACAAAAATATTTATCCAATTTCTACATAATCGACTTAGAAAATGTATAGAGGCTATAAATATTCTAAAGAAAATGTATCCACTTTTCTATCTACTCATTATAGCTTTGTGGCCGCTTTTTTCTGTAGACTTTCTATAGAACTTAGTGTGCAACTCAACTCTGTTACGTCACGGCGCGGTGGTGGCGCGTCGAGCGCACTTCGGTCTGGAGCTGTGCGTGGAAGTCGCCACGTGAGACGTGCATTTCTCCGTTGTTTAGAGAGAAACTAGACAAAAACCTGGGCCCTCTCGTCAAAACGCCGCGACTGGGGCTGTAGCAAAAGATTCGAAAAAGGTTTGAAGGTATATTTTCATGTGCTCGGTTCGTCCGAGAACGTGGCTATATGGCATGAAAAGGGAAAACCAGACGCCGTCGGACTACGATTGCTCCCCAACAACACCGAATGTCCATCGGACATACAGAAAAGGTCCGAATATCCATGTGCAAAAGTGTATGTCCAATGAATATCCTAAGGGCCGCCGAAAGCGGACGCCCGTTATCAGATGTACATTTGACACCCAAAAAACCGCGTAGCGATGCATATCCGTACGACGGCATTCAGCGGAGCTCGAAATGCACTGAAGCGACTGAAAAGTGTGAGTAAGTAAAGCGAATTGTTTCGTTTCAATTTCTTTTTCGGAAAGGTTTATATTTCTATGAAATTTCATTAACAATTTAATTTATTTATTTACAAATGTCGCATAATCCGTGAACGAGACTAATCGTGCGGGTCTTTTATATGTGATCGCTGGCTCGCGGCTTCCTGGCTAACTCCATCTAGTGTGATCTCGCCAATCTTTCTTTCTCCCGTTCCTCGGCTGTTTCGCTGTTTCGGCCTTGGCGGGAATCTAAAATACATTGAAACGAAAGACGTACAGCGACGGCTTGTACAGTTTGTACTACTGTGATTCGTCTCCTGATCAACACCAAGGCCTGAACGAGGATGGCTTTCGTACGTAAGTGAACTGCAGTTTTTTATATACGAATATGAATTGAGTTAGAATATTGCGCAATTCGCCGGTCAAGATCACAGCTTTTAGGCGGGAAAGCTGAAACCAGGGATGGCCGCCAGCGAGCTAATTAAGGCACTAATTAATAAATATACTCCTGCTAGAGCTAAAATAGAGCGTCAAAATATATAATGTTTTCAAGTGTCGCAGGCTTCCACATGAAAACAGTTGGGCTATTTTCCCTTTGTGCCATCTTACGTGAGCATGAGGCAACAAACAGTTTCATTTGTTTCAGCGAACCAGGCGTTTACGATTGTGAAGTTTGGCGACGATGGTACAATTGCGGTTGTCCACCCAAGGATAGAAGACAACCTGTTTGTGTGGCCGCCCGAAAGAAGTTCTACATGAATTCAAGATCTTGTAAAGAATAGAGTGTGTCCTTTGCCTCACCGGAACTGATACAGTTGCACTCCACTTAGATGGTTTGGTAAGTTGTGCGAAATTGCAAGGTATTCTCCAATCACTGATCTTTCACTATGTATTGTTTCTGCGTGCAGATTTCTATTAAAAAGCAAGACTCAAGCTTCCTCTCGCAGAGAGCTGTGCTTGAGCAGTCTGGCTTTACTGAGGCTGAGAGCTCCCTCCCAGCGTAGGGGAGGCCATGCCTGCCCAGGCCGTGACTTTTTTTTACAAGCAGAATTTGTCATTTCAGAAGCCTTAGTGAAGGAGGGGGCCTACCTGTCATGACATTCAAGTGGCCATTAAGGACCGGTTTCGGCGGTCAAAGGAACGACTTCGCCCACAGTATGTACACATAGCTAATATGGATACAGTAGTGTCCTAATTAGGACAGTTACTATATTTTTAA